TAAACAGTGGAATCTTCGAGATCAGATCTTATTGCTACAAGAAAGGCCATACTAGCAACTAGCGACTATGGTGGTGCACACAGATCCCTCGAACACCGGGTAATCAGGGGCTTAAAGAATGACAGAGAACCGGGTGGAATTTCGAAGGCCCAGGAGATGGAGAAGGCTTTCGCTGCAGGAAACCGCTGCGCCCGGTTTTAACTGATTTGATCAATGGGTCAAAACAAGGCAGATGTCAATTAGACAATATGCGAGAAAGACTGGATAGCAATTCACTTCCTCAGTCGCCATCTTCAACGGTGAGCTGAGCATTTCCAAGAACAGTTCGCCTGGTATCCTCCAACAACCGCTAGAAGAACCAAGCGGATCAGAATGGAGTGGTGGCACCAACCCACCATCAGCAAGTGAAATCCAGCGTGAGATTTTAATCTTGAAGGGCATCAAGGTACCTGGCCCGGATGGTCTACACCCCGTGCTATTCAGAGAAGGTGGCGAGGTCCTGGTGAACATTCTAACAAACATGCTGCAGAAGATTTGGAACGGAAACAGAATACCAGCTCAATGGAGCTCCTCGACCGTCATACTGGTTTTCAAAAAAAGAGTAAGAACGTCATGTGGAAATCATCATGGTATCAGCCTGGTATCCCACGCATCTGAGTTTCTCTCCGGCATTATTTTGGGCAGGTTGGTGGACTATGGAGAGAGATAGATTCGTGAGAATCAAGCTAGCTTTCGCCCTGGTTGAGGATGCATCAACCGTATCTTTACCTTGAGACAAATCCTTCGACAGCGCCTCTACTTCAGACGTCCTACGTTGGTTGTTTTTCCAGGATTTGAACGCTGCCTTTGATTCTGTCGATCGTCAGCAACTTTCGGCTGTCTGGCGATCAAAGCTGTCCCTTCCAAATTTAATTTCCCTGTGAGGACATTGTATGCGAACTCCCGTGGGCGCGTACGAGTATACGAGATGCTCTCGCTTGAGTCGAACACGTCCAGTGGTGTAACACAAGGCTCTTCTCTTTCATCCCTCCTCTTTAACTTTGTTGTTGATATGCTGCTTGAAATTTTTCTGCCTGCCTCTGAAACCTCGGGAGTCGAAATGCTCCCGGGACGTTCCCCCACAGACATTGAGTATGCAGACGATATTCCTCTCCTTGGTTCAGATCCTCCCCAAATCCAAACGATTTTAAATCACCTAAATGACTCTGCCACACGGTTTAGCATGCGCTTCACAGCTGCTAATTGCAAAGTGCTGCTACGAGACTGAGTGGGATCAAATCCACACTCCATGCTTTCAGGTGAGTCAATCGAAGTGGAGATAAATTTTTGTTTACCTAGACAGCGGTATAAGTTGCGGTGGACTGGCTGGAGATCGAAAAGACCAGGGCAGCTTTTACTGATCTCCGACGTGACGCGAGCTTGCCTGTCAGTGGAAGAGTTTACACTGCAGTGGTGCGATCCATACTGCCTTATGGATCAGAGACGTGGCCCATACGCGCAGAGGATGTACGGAAGATGTCAGTTTTGGACCATCGGTGTCTCCGAAGCATTGATCTGGTCTGGTGGGAACATTGGCTTAGTAGTGCTGAGGTACTTCACATGGTCTTAGAAAGAAGGAACTCTCACGCTTCATAGGTTGCGCTGGTTGCGGCATGTATTCCTCATGCCAGAAGATCGTCCTTCTCACAGAGCTCTTTTCTCCCGGCCCGGTGTTGAACGGAAGCGACCAAGTTTTGGACAGTGTATAAGCGGGCAACGAAGTACGAAAACACTAACCAGAAAACTTAGTCGGGTGGGCAACTGCCGCCTTCCTGGATGGGGACCTCGGGACTCAAATCATCAGTGGTTAATGACAATGGAGGAAATTACCCAATCACGCAGTAAAGAGTGCTCACGCATCAAAGCTATCGCCTTCAATGACGCCACGAAGAGACTGGACCTTACCGTGGTGTGACGGTTTGCGTACCTCAGCGATTCATTGAGCTATACTTGAGAGTGTCCCGCGACACTCACAGAGTCTCTCATACCAGGTTGGTCAATGGTTAGGGGTCTGACGAACACAGTCTCTTGGCCCTCCAGGTTGGGGGTTGGAACATGTGGCGACTTGTTCCGTAGAAATGGTAATGCATTTGCATTTCCCGCCAAAAACCGCTGCCTTGCGGTTAGGCTTTTGAGCCAAAGGCTTTGGATGAGGACCCTAATCGTCCTCCTGTCTAGGTGTGGGCGCCCTGGCAGTATCCCAGCCCACGTACAACCATGAAATGCACATACACAAATAAATTCATGCCACATCGGCCGTCGCGTGGTGACATCAGCCGGGTCGCCTTACTTGCTGCATACAGCAGGGCGGGTAAGCGAAAACAGGCTACTGCTGACGCCTCCCTTCTTTCTCCTTCAAATACTTTTTCTTCCCCCTCTCCCCACTCCATTAATAACTCTCTCCTTGTAGGCCCAGCACTTAGGACTGATGAAGGGGTCAAGCTGATCCCCTGTAGTTACCACACCCACTGCGTGCCCCTTTTTTGAAAATGGGCACTATCACCGGCTCTCCCCAGTTGTTTGGGACAGACCTTTCCTCCCAAATGCAAGCAAACAGATCGGACAAACGCTGACCGGGGACTTCACCCCCGTCTTTGAACAGTGTGGGTGAGAGATCATCCGGACCAGGAGCTCGGTGGCGCTTGAGAGAACGTATGCAGTCGTAAACCGCCCAGGCCGTAAGTGGTTCCACGTTCATCGTCCAGGGTTCCACCTCACCTCTGGGCTCTAGATGAGTGCCAGCTGGTGGCCACGACAGCTGTTCGAAGTATTCAGTCCACCGATCGAGGCGTTCTTTGTTCGAAATGTTCGTTCCATTCTGATTCTTGATGGCTTTACTCACAGGTGGTTTCCGGGGACCGGTCACACGTATCAACTGAAATAATCTTCGGGCGTTACCGACTTTCTGTGTCCATCATACTTCACGGTTACTCGCAAGCTCACTTTCTCTTGACGTTAAGGTCCAGTCTCTTCGTGACGGCTGGACATAAAAGAAGCATGCTTTCTTTCAAACAATGCCTCTTAAATACTGCTGATGCAGGTTCCGATCACAGGATATCACGAGGAAACAGTGTAAATAAGACAACAATAGGCCTTAGGTGCTCTGGTACGTTCTGTGCCAGAGATCATTAACCTCAGTGTTTGGATATACTCATCGGACTAGCGGTGCCAGGCAATCAGCAGCGCTATTGTCGATTTGTTGTCGTTCTTAATCTTCAACCAGCGATTCGTTTCTTCTGTATGTCCCTTCCATCCCACACTTCCCCCTTCATAAGCTACGGCGACCCGAAGCACTATATATAGTTACGTGCGTCATGATTACCAGGCTGTGAGGAAATGCGCTATCTGTCCGAAACGATGTTTCAAGGTGCTGGTTTAGTTGCCTTATTAACTGCCCATCATTTCCTTTAAGAACATTTGATGTTCACTTCGGAATTGTTTGAGCCATCTCTTCTCGATATTTTCGTGCTACCGGGACAGTTTGGAGGTGTGGGAACCGAATAGCCAAGTTGGTGTGCTCTCTAGTGTAGGCAGACTGATACTCTTGTCTGCATTGACCGTCAGTGTTGGGTTTGCACTCAAGAAAGCACAATGCCGCTGATTTGAAGTATCCTGCCGCGTGGTGAAATTATGAAGAAGGGACAGGAACCTCTGATTCAATCTGCACTAGAATACCTTTCGCTACGCAGTTTACTTTTAGAGGATCTTTTGAAAAAACGGATTTGGCATCCCATCCTCTTCCTAATGTGACCTGAGTGCGGATTTCTTCCCCTTTTGTTTTAGACCTTTCGTGCGCCCTTTTAGATCTGATCAAATATCCTTCCCAAAACCTTGGAAGCATGGTAAGTAGGTATTGCTTTTTCCCCGTTCACTTCGTTAGCTTGTGCTCGTAATAGGTGATTTCCACATCCCTGACAGGAAACATTCCATTCATCCGGCGTTTAAAAACCTGCTGGCTCCTGGGAAGATACAACACATTCTGTGTACGGGGAACCTAACCACAAAATGTATGTATGACTACCTGAAGCTTATATGCGGCGATGTACATGTAGTCAAAGGTGAATATGATGAGGTGGGTTAACGAAAATTTGATCTTACGATGTCGATCATCTCTAGGGTTTGGACTTCCCTCACACCAAAGTTCTTAGTGTGGGCAATTTCAAAATTGGCTTGATCAATGGTTACCAAATAGTGCCCTGGGGTGATCAGCAACGACTGGCGATGCTTCAGAGACAGCTGGATGTGGACATCCTCATCTCGGGGCATACTCACCAATTCGAGGCCTACGAGTATGGCGGTCGTTTTTTTATTAACCCTGGTTCGGCAACCGGTGCATTTACTCCATTGTTAAAGTGAGTTTTTGGCTTTATTGAAAAATTCGTTTGAAAAATGGCGTCTGTTATGCTTACTGTCACTCTTTTCCACAAACGCATTCCATACTTTAAGTGGTAAATTCAATCACTAACCATGCCTTCGAGTTTCAGTGCGGACTGTGAGGAAACTGCCTACCACTACCCCCCCCCCCCGTGAAGCTGTTTTCCTTTTAGCCGTAGAAAATGGGAACTAATCAAGTGGATCCGGATATCATCAGACCCAATTGTTGTTCATACAATACTGCGTGTTATTCTTATTTGGCAGGTACACGGTTAGTTCAATCACCACCTCATCGTTGTATTTGGAGGTTTCATTCAGCCTGTTGGCAGTCTGTTAGCACCACATAGAAAATAGGATATTGGGCTTTCCTTACTCATGTGCTTCACACCTGCCCGTTTATGAGGATCTGGTAACCGTTATTGACTGGGGGGGGGGGTTTTAGCGTGATGTTTCCGCTGTTTTCCTTTTAGCCGTAGAAAATGGGAACTAATCAAGTGGATCCGGATATCATCAGACCCAATTGTTGTTCATACAATACTGCGTGTTATTCTTATTTGGCAGGTACACGGTTAGTTCAATCACCACCTCATCGTTGTATTTGGAGGTTTCATTCAGCCTGTTGGCAGTCTGTTAGCACCACATAGAAAATAGGATATTGGGCTTTCCTTACTCATGTGCTTCACACCTGCCCGTTTATGAGGATCTGGTAACCGTTATTGACTGGGGGGGGTTCTAAGCGTGATATTTCCACCAGAAGCTTGAACTTATTGTGGTGCGACGATATGTCTAACTCTAGAACTCATCGACCTATACTGGAGTTACCATCATGACGCCTGTAGAGTTCCTCATGTTAGCTAGATTAATCTTTAGTGAACACTGTGGACCCGGACATATGTGGCAACGTGTTCCCTTATTCTTGTAATGTTGGTGATAATGATGACGCTTATTTGGTTCACACCGGTGGTCACCTAATGACAGGAGCACGTCTTGTGCATACCTTAAGAATTTATCTTCTGGAGGAAGCGAGTTTTTCGTTGAAGCTTTTCAAGGATGCCTCAGTGTTTATCGAATAATTCTATCCCTGGTACTAGTGTACTCGGAATTCTCCACTGGTAGATAGTGTGGTTTCCTCTGTTTACACCACAATATCGGAATCTGACCACTCTATATTCATATTGACAGTTTACTCTCCCTCCCTGTCACGCGGTACTGTTCGCGATGGGTGACGTCGCACACATTTACACAATAGAAATTGGAGTCTCATAGCACCAACTTATCTAGATTTCATGTTGACGGTGAAGGCATGACTTACGAAAGTTTAATGGACATCTTCCGTACCATGCTTTTGCGTAGGCTCTAGGTGGTGTTGATGACCATTAAAAGTTAACTGAACCTCTTGACACACTGACGAATGTTGTAACAACTAAACGCCCGAGTTGGCCTCTCGTGTGGTTAACACTGACAGCGAGTAGATTTCACGTCCGTATATATTTCAGCTGGTATTTTGGACTTCCAAGACTTCCTGGATAGATAGGTTGTCTTTGGCCCCATATGTAGCTCGGTGCCATAACCATGGTCAATGCATCGACTATTTGGTCAGACAAAGGCAGTACTCCATAGGGAAACACCATCGAAGAGACGGGTTTGTACTCTCCCGAGAACCGAAGGGGGACAATCTTTAGTCCCCCCAAACGAGCAGATTCTTTTCAAGGTGAAGCGCTACTAGATGAAATGAGGAGATTGCTGTCTTAGGTACTGACGTTTTACCATACCATCACACCGGTGGGCGCTCATCTGACGGGCTTGACTTTGCTTGGAAAATAATTTAACTTAATCTACGAACATAACACCGGAGCATATCATAGTTGCAATACCCTCTCGATGCCTAGCCGCCGTGCTACCCGAAGGAAGCACGAGGGCTGGGATACTATGAGATTGCCCAAACCTAGATGGGAGTAGTCGGGATGCAAAAGTTGGGTTCGTACCACAAACCCCCCGATCAGTAAGTTCGCGCCTTAACCGCTGAGCTATCTCGAGCTTGCTTGACGGCAATTCATAGAACAACGCGTGATAACTGGGTATTTATCGGATTCCAAATGAATACAATTGTTCACCTTGTTCACACATAAATACTGATTCCTGATGACCTACATAACACCAACTGACGACCAGTGCGATATGTCAGTCGGAGATGTGCAACAGCAAGGAATTTTTGGATCACCCACCTCAACTAAGGCGAAGTAGTTCATCACACATTTTCAAAGTTGTTTGAAATATTAACCCGTTGACCAGAAATTTCACCACCTCTGAGTAGAACCTTCGACATGGTTCTTCACTAACGCTCCCTCACGAGAAAACGTCTTGCTGTTTTCCATGTTGAGATGGGTACTTTACCGCGTTATATCACGGTCATGGTAATTCTGTTTGCCAGGATCACTGGCTTCATACTGACTGTTACGGTAGCAGTATAACGCCAAATGTTCTTGTAATGACTTATTCCCACTGATTCATTTATGCGTTTGTGATCAGAGTGCTTCTTTTATTTACCCATTCATCTGATGGCAGAGATCCTCAGCCTTCATTCGTTCTTCTGGACATCCAAGAAGGCGTTATTCAGCTCTACGTCTATACTCTCGTAGATGATGAGCACAAAGTTGCGAGGATTGAATATCGGAAACCAGTCCGAACTTGATAATCCCAATCGAATCGGATTTCCCAATGCACGCACCTGAACCTCCAATCTATCTATATTCCGATCAGTCAAACGAATTTTTTCTTTCTTACTTGTGTATCTTGTTCAACTGTGCAGTATTGTGATTATGCCTTTATTTTCCCGCATACAATCAATATTCCGCCGTGTGTAACGATTTTGCTGTTATTTCATCGCGTGGAAATTCTGCATATCATAAAAGGCTTCCATAAAACTCCAGCAGGGGTAGCTCGATATCGGTCCGCTTTATATTTGAGTTTTGCCTCTGATTTGCCGGTGCACGGGGGGTATGACCCATGGTGTCAACAATCCATTAATTGGTAGTTCACGTGAACGCATTCGGAGTCACAATGGCCCTTTACTTGGGACGATCGTCTGGTGCTTGATGGTTTACTCTGGCTAGTGTAGGCAGCTATAGATTGTCTGATCGAAAAAATACGCTTGTCCGTTCATTGTTTAACAGTTCGCTGAGTTCGGCATTGGTTTTCGAACGCATCTTCACTACAAAAGAAGGTATCATCAGTGGGCGGTTGATTGGACCTTTACTGCCCTCTGCGTGCATTCATATAGTACGTCTAACCGCATCCAACCTCTTCAACGTGATGACTGATTGATGAGGAAAACTGCAAACCAGTTACCATGCTCGACAAGCAGGTGAAAACTGACCGAACTCAACCTCGCTGGTCCGCTTAGATTAATATAGCTGGTTCATCTTAGTTATTCCTATTGACAGTCCTTCAGGCTGCGAAGTGTCCTTGAGTTTGAAATTAATGCAGCGTAACTTGTCTTTTTGGGAACGCCGATCTTATCAAGTTACGGTGGATTCGAAGTAGTCAACGATCACCCAGACTGTAGTAAACCTTTAAACGGAAGCCTCTTCCCGGAAAGTCAAAAAATCGTTGTCAGTTCACTTTATGAAGAAACAGCATCCACGCTATCACTTCCAAGCATTTACCGTCAAGGAATAGTCACCTAGAAATACTACTGACGGCAAGATTATTTAATTGTCCTACGCGCGCCACACCTGTGTCAGTGACATTGAAGCTCTGTATGGGGATCAGAACAGAGCCAATCACAATAAAGTGACGCCATTTTGACCAACTAAAGGAAGTTTCTGCAACCAGCACCGTGAGTCGATCAAAGACCGCGAGCTTTTTAGATGCTGCTACGAGAAAGAATAAGCTGATGATGAGCCCTCTTCCGTGCCAGGTACATTTTTGGCCACTAGTATTATCGATCAGGTAACTGTTTGACGTAGGAGTCACTCGACCATTCAAGTTCGTGACCAGCTAGTGCGCCGGTATGTGACCTGTGAACAGTGTTTCAAGATTTCTCTGACGTTCAGAATAGTCTGAGAGGTTTTCTCCGTTGTATTCTCAAAAAACCTTCAGAGTGTTATGAAACTTCCACAAATTCAGTTTAGCTCGTTGTCTGGGATTGAGCAGCTTGTTACCAATGTTTGCACAAGGCGGTAAAAAATGGAAGTGTGGTTTCCAAATGTGCTTATCCTCTATAAAAACCACGTTCATCTTAGCGTAATCGTCATGGGGGCACGTCTCCTTAGGGGTCAAGCGTTTGCCTTGGTTGGATTTGTGGTTCCGTCCCCATGGTAGCTATAACTGCGACACCACTCGTGCACACTTACCGCATTTTTATTCGGCCCGTTCCAACAGGCTTCTCTAAAGGTATAATGTCACATACTGATTGGTAATACTGTTCCAAATATCACTTTCGTCCACAATACATTCATTAGCAAAAACGTTTTTAATTCGATACCTGCATCTAGTTCAACCGTAGAAAATCGGAAACCAACCGGCCGTCCTACAGTGTAGAAATACTCATATCCCTTTCACCGCATAATCCCACAAGGTTCTGAGGTCCTCTTCATGCTATCTGATAATCACGTTTCGTTGGCTCCCAACCAGCTTTAGGTAGCTAGAACTGAGTTGTCTTCTTCATCGATCTGAACGACCTTCGCCTTGCTTTCTTGTGGAACATGAAACTAGTCTTCATTACGACTCGGTGTGAAAGTGCAATTCCTAATTACAAACGCCATGCTAGAAGTACCACTGAAGACGGGTGTGTAAACATCATACCAGTGGCGTGTGCGCATATTCCAGGTTCTACCTCCAAAACCTGATTTGTCCTCTAAGCCACTCTCTCCTTAATATCGTTTTACCGCAAAGGCCGGAGCAAGTGGACACCGAGACCACACCTTGAGGGACAGTATCGGAACACGTGGTACCAAGTGGTAACGATAGCTCACAA